TGCTGATGAAAACCCTGAAGGTAACAGGATCACAAGCCACTTCTGTCTGGAAGGGACCACAGCAGGTCACCTAGTACAGCCATCAGCTGGAAGCAGGATGAGCTATAAGGTCAGACCAGGTTGTTCAGGGTCTGATCTAGATGGGCCTTTAAAATGCTCATCCAACAAGGGTGGAGACCCCTCAGCCTGTCTGGGTAACCTAAACTACTGCTTGAGAGCCACGCTGGGGATGGGGGGGATTCATGCCTCTCCCTTGTATCCTCTTGTTTCAACCTGTACCTGTTGCCCCTTCTCCTTACCAAGGGCAGAAGGAGCAACAGGGAGCTCGTGGGCAGGGATTGCGGTGGAGCCCGGGGTGCCCCCGCCACCCCCAGGCGGGGTTCAGCACCCTGGAGAGAGGCAGATTGCATCCTCCCACCCACCAGCGCTCCCGACTCCCTGACCCGCAGCGGCTTCGCTGGGGTAAATCATCCTTCAAGCAGAGAATCGTGGAACCCCAGCCTGGTTTGGGTGGGAAGGGACCTTGGAGCTGTGGTTTGGTTCGCATTGTCAGTGTGAATACACATAGAACCATAGAATTATTTAGGTTGGAAAAGACCTGCAAGATCATTGAGTCTAACCATAAACCTAATGCTGCCGAGTTCACCACTAAAGCATGTTCCTGAGTCTTTAATGGAAAGAAAAGTCTTCAAGTGTGGAAATGTCCATCCTAGTGCTGCACCCAACCCAGGCAGGACACCAAGCAAATTAAACGGAGGGCCTGGATGCCTGGTCAGGATCACAGCTCCCTGAATAACCCCCAGAACACAGAAGCCACTTCTTGAGGAGCTACTACTTAATACGAACAGAAAACAGCAACAGGTCAGTGCCTTAGCTGGTGGTCTCCTCAACTTGGGAAACCCCACATTCCCTTTTAACTTGGAGCTTCTTGAGGTTACTGAGAGGAGCAGGAAAAGTGAACATTTCACAGCAGAAAGGGAATTTCACCACATCTTCTGCAGACTCAAGGTGAGCCCCATCCACGTCCCAGCTTACACCGAGCTGCCAGCCCTGCTCATCTGTGCCAGGGCATGTCAGGAGGAATGCAGGCTGACAGCGAGACAGGATCTGCTTGCTGTGACTTAGAAGGTCTGTAAGAACCCATCAGCCTTCATGCTGGAAGACAGCAAAATCTATTGCCAAAGAGGCATAAAGCAGCAGAAAGCCTGCCAGGAACTCAAGCAAACCTCCAGGTTCACCTTGTGCAGTGAGAATAACAGCACCCGGCTATCACAGCAGCAAGAGGATGGGATACAAAGGATCCTGAACTGAGGTGAGCTCAAGAAGCAAGGCAAAGGGAGACTTGTCCCTGCCCAGCATCCCTGGGATCTTCTATTTTGTTTAGCCACACAAAAGCGTCTCTTCTTGTTCAGCTGTTAATCCTTCTCCTCCTATCTTATTAACAAGGGATGGTGATCCCTATAAGCAGGGCTGAGGTCTAAATCCTCCTCTGTTTTAATCCAGGACAACACAGAACGCTTTCTTGCAGATCTGGATTTAAAAATGAAAAAGGAGGGGGATTATTTTGCGTGGCAACGACTCCGAGTTCATTCTGAGCTGGATCCCTACAATTACACAACAATTATCCTGGACAGCAAAGGTAAAAGCACCAAGGTCTGAGCTGCTTCAAGCGAGAGGAAGAGAGCAGAAGTCATCCCACAGCACTTACAGTTCTTCTTGAAAGGAGTTACCCGAGGCAGGCAGACAAGCCAGACCTCCCCGACAAGGTCTGCCAGAGCCTTTCAGCAGCTCTAACCCCTCAATGCAATGCTGGGCCTGAGCTGCCTGCTTGGGTTTGAGCTACAAGGGAATATCTTGGGAAGGGCAGACTAAACCCAGGCAACAGGGAACACTCAAAGAGGAATTGCCAGCGGTTTTTTCCCTGGATTTTCTAAAATCTCCTCCCAGGTTTTGCTTTTGTTCACATTTATTCATACCGTTGTCCCTGCCCATGGCAATGGGGTTGGAACTAGATGATCTTAAGGTCCTTTCCAAACGTAACTATTCTATTCTAAGTAAAAACTGGGGTTTTATGCAGGACATGGAGACACTCAGTGTAAACTGGGATGGATTTAAACCTTCCCAACCCAGCTGCATCTTTAGTTCACCTGAACAAGCAGTGCAAACCTCTTCCTTGTGAGCTCCTTACTAGAGCACACCAAGAACAAGATGGAGCCAACACTCCCTGAAGCTCTGGGTAACCTGTCCAAACCTTCCCTCTGCCCAGGGAGGCTCCATTTCTACAAGCATTGGTGTTTATCAAGGCACTGTTTGGTAGAGACCCCCCATAACTACCACATTTCTACTCATTGGGGTTAAAGTGATGAGGGGAATGGGGAAAGGATTAAACTCTGGCAAAGCACTTGGTACCTACAAGTAATTCACCCACCGAGGCTTCTCCCAAGGACACTGGGTCACCCGACCAGGCCTGAAACACAGCAATGGAAGTAAAAATCCTTTCAGTGGAGAGTTATCACATAATGGTTTGGGAACGGATCTTAAAGCTCATCCAGTTCCAGCTCTTGGCCTGTCCCTACAGGTCCTTGTCCCAAGCCCCTCTCCAGGTTTCCTGCAGCCCCTTTAGGCACTGGAGCTGCTCTCAGGTCTCCCCTTCAGGAGCCTTCTCTTCTCCAGGCTGCCCCAGCCCAGCTCTCTCAGCCTGGCTGCAGGGCAGAGCTGCTCCAGCCCCCAGTTAATCTACTTTAACAGCCATGCAGTTACCATTTCCCATCTACCTGAACCAGGCACCAGCAAAGGTTCCTTTACCTCCTGTCCATGTCCACTCTGACTCTCCTCACAATCACATGAATCACCAGCAGCTGAGTCTGCATTTGCAGCTTTCCTTTTCTGGTCCCCAGTGTGTTACTATTCACACCTGATCTCAATACCTTCCCTCACCGTGCACAGACTGCACCTCACAGCCCACCCACGGACTCTCAGTGCTGTCCTTCCAAGAGGGGTACTATCAGGTGAAGACCTACACACAGGGGTCTTGTGTGAGCAGCCTTCCCACAGGGTCTCGGGCAGGAGCTCTGGTATGAAGACAGAGATCTTGTTTCTTGCTGTTATTCACGTTATTTGACCACCTTTGATGCTTGGGCACTGCAGAAAGCCTTTGCAGTGGCACTTTGCCAGCAGCAGCATCGATTTTCTACACCAGACCCATGAAGATGAAGACAATTAGATCACAGCAAAGCAAATAATTCATTATGAATTAATACCTTCTGAGAGCTTGGGATATTTCCCATTTAATCATTAGCCGGGAGAAGAGATGATTGGATTGACTGACTTAAGTTTAAATCAAACCCCGAGCCACAGCCAAGGCAACACAAAGCGATAACCCCTGGCGAGACGCTGAGGATGATGATGGAGCTTTGTTACTACCAGCTCCATCCTACAAGCAAGACAAGGCCGGTCCCCAGGCCTCAACCCCTAGGAGCAAAGTCCATCTTCAAATTTAACACCTCGAGCCCATCCTCCCGCAGCCCTCCATGCATTATTTATGTTGTACTCGTGTTACAGCTACACAAAAAAGGGAAGTCAGCGAGGGCTCAGCCCCAGCCGTTAAATACAATTGGATGCTGAATTGGAGCCATTATCTCTCAAGGTAGGCCCTGCAAAGAAGTTTTCGGGAAACAAAGCAGTCATGCTGCCGATCAATTTAGCCCTGCCGCCAAAGGGGAGTATTTCACAGGAGCACAGCCAGCAAGAAAGGAGGCAGCATCGCAATAAAAGTCACTGGATTCTTGCTTTTGTCCTCAGCATCTGCTGGGAGCACCCCGGAAACACTTAAACCCTGACAGCGCCACAGTATCCATCTTAAACCAGCCAGGCATCCGCTCCGCCTGTCAGCATCCCGGTTTTCCTGCACTATTCACCTGCCCCTGCCCCTTTCCTCTGCCCCTCTGCCAAAAAGCATTCAGAAACATCCCCGTTTGACTTTCACGAGTGCTCCACAGGACCACTTCCAAGGACCTGACCTTGAAAAAGAACCTCAAAGGCAGCACAGAAAAGGCAGAAGCAAGCCCTGCCCGAGCCCTTCCCATGGCAGAAGGGACGGGATTTTCCAGAGAAAACCTTCCCGACCCCTTGTCCCCCCCCACAGCCCCATGCCCGGAGGCCTCGCCACGCCGCAAGCGCTGCATCCTCCCTGCGCCCCGTCCTCCAAGGAGCAGCAAAGGCCACCGAGGAAGATGCTACACCGCGCTCAAGCCAACGGGTACCTCTTGCAGGCCACGCTCCCCCAGCAGAGCATCCCTCGGTCCCCGCAGTCCATTCCTGGGGTCGGGAAAGGCTGAGCAGCCCGGACAGCCGGGATTACAAATGATTCAGCACTTTCCCCACCTCCAGAAGCCTGATCGATGGCCGGGAGCTGCTCTGCGGGCACAGGCAGATGGGAAACACGCAGTCACCACCCGCGGCGGGGCCCGGCTCCCTCCAGCGCAGCATCCCAGCCCGGTGCTTCCCCAGGGGCCTCCAGACGAGGCCGTGGATGCGTTTTCCCAGCCCAAGATGTTCCAGATGAACACGAATCTACCCCAAAAACCACGAGAGGGAAGCATCAGTGTGCGGCCGCCCCGCAGGGCGAGCTTTGCTCCTCTGGGGACCGAGCCGTGCCCTGTCCCACCAGGGTCTCTACCCGCGGTGCGACCCCCTTCCCCGAGCTGACATATCGGGATATTATCGCCACGCATAGACACGATGTCATGACGTAACAGTAAAAATCCCGTCACATGCCCGAGCTCGGTACCCGGCTCCCCCTCGCATGCGGCTCCTGCCGGGGAGGGCAAAATAAGAGGGGGGACCCTGCAGGCAGCGGGTCCCAAACCCGCGGTGATGATGCTGACGGTGCGGAGCCAGCCCCCCCCACACCCAGCCCTGCGCCGGGGGTGCCGCTGGCGGGTGGAGCCGAGCATCCCCCGGGAGCGCCCCACATCCCGGTACCCCCCTTCCCCGCTTACCTGCTCCGGGAGCGCCGGGACTCGCCGCAGCCGGGCTCCGTGCGCCGCACTGCGCGCTCCCGAGCGCGGCCGCGCCGCACTGCGCGCTCCCGAAGGCGGGCGCGCCCCGAGAGGAAGCAGGGAGGAAAGCAGGAGCGAGCGGGGAGTGGGGAGAGGTTCATTAGCGGTGCCCGTAATTAGCAGCTGCAGCTCCGGCTCCGCCCTCCCGCCTGAGCCACCCCCAGGATGCTCCCGCGGGCACTAAAGCACAACCGGGGGCCATAAACCGGGGGGTGAAGCCCAGCTCGGGGGTTTGGGGCAGGGCAGGACAAGTGACCCGGTCACGGCCCTTCCCCGCCTGCAGCACCGGTCCCGGGCCGTTCCGCACGCTCGGGGCTGCTGCAGGGGAGCAGCATCATCCCCCTCAGCCCTGGGTAAGGTGCCTGCTGGTGGCTCCCTGCCACGGGCACGCTCCCCATGAGTGACCCAGCTCCTGCCAACATCCCAGCCCGGGCATCTCATCGGTGACTTGGTTATCAGGAATGTCAGTTTAATTAAGGCCTCCCCCCGTAGGAAGCACTCACAGCAAGAGCAGCCACTTCCCTCGCCCTGCATCTTACTGCACAGCAAATGTTCTGCTGAGGCTGTGAAACTTAAACTAATATAGGCACTTGCTCTAGCAGCACACTGATCCGTGTTGATTTAACACATATTCTAGACAACACAGAATCATAGAACAGTTAAGGTTAGAAAGGACCTTAAATCACCCAGTTCCAACCCCCCTGCCATGGGCAGGGACATCTCACCCTAGACCATGTGATAACACATAGCAAACATGCTGATACACATCATATATATTCAAGCCCTTTAGGGGTTTATCAAAGAAAGCTTTGAGATCCCGAAGATACATTTGCATTTGCATGTGTCACCATCCCATGAAAGCCAGTGAAGAATTAATATGTCAGAAGTTAAATGTGTGTCCTGGACCACCAGAGAGAAGAACCTCCCTGCATGGATCTGGAAAAGAAGCTGTAGAAGGCAGGATTCTTATGGAGTAGGAGACACAGGAACACAAAACCCGATTCCAAGAGCAGTTGAAATCACACCCTCTACTTGCAAGATACAACTGGGACAGTTACTGGTTAAAACCAGCATAAAGCTGGGCCTAGGTGCTTGGACTAGAAGGATGCCCCATACAAACAGACATCTGTGACCTCCTGCAAAGCAGAACCCAGTCATGAGAGGTGAAGGCTGGCTCCTGACACAGCCCTTGTGTGCTCCTTCCTTGCCAGATCCACTTGGATATTTGTCCTTACTCAAGAGCTCACAGAGGGTCCCTTTCTTTGCTGTCTCCCTAGGGATCCACTGCAATCAAATTAACGTGGTTAACCAGGGAATGGGCAATGAGGAGAAATTAGATGAGCTCCTCTCCTCCAACCAATCTCTTTGAACAAAAAAGTATTGATCAGCCTTAAAGTATTTGTACTTGGAAAGATGGATTCATGGGCTCCCTGCTATGGCACTTGAGCCTCTCAGGAAAAGCTAGTGATGGATGCACAGCCCAGGCACTTGGTTTTAATGGAGCAGCAGCTTCGCTGCCCCTAGGACATAAATCACGGTGTTGTCGCAGCCAGTCGGTGCTTCCCTATTTAAGAGCACAGGACACGGAGCTCATCCCATCTTGCCTCCTTAATGCCCTGCACTTTTATTCAGTGTTGGCATAGACGATTTAAAACCAGGACTGGCATTTAAACACATTCCTCCTGCCTTTGCAGCCGCTGCAAGCACACGGCAGAGCACAGACTTGGTAGCTAACGATTAAAAGGGGAAGGGATCCTTCTGCTATGAGGGTGCTGAGGCGCTGGCACAGGGTGCCCAGAGAAGCTGCGGCTGCCCCATCCCTGGCAGTGCTCAAGGCCAGGTTGGACACAGGGCTTGGAGCAAGCTGCTCCAGTGGAAGGGGTCCCTGCCCGTGGCAGGGGTTGGAGCTGGAGGAGCTTTAAGCTCCCTTCAACCCAAACCAGGCTGGGATTCCATGATCCCGTTGAGGAGCAGCCAACCCCAGAGGCCCCGGTATTCCCTTGCCAGCAGCACCGCCCCTCTGCGCCTGCAGAAGGATGCAGGAACCCACCAGCCCCTGTCCCCTCCCGGCGGCGATGCCCAGGAGCGCCCGCAGCCCGTCCGTTATCCGGTGCTGCCATCTGCAGCCCGACGGCGCTTCCCTGCTGGAGAGGACGGGTTTTAGCTCACACCCCCCCCGCGGGGCCGCTCGTGGCTCACCCAGAGCCTGGGAGTGCGCAGCACGGGCTCAGGAGCAGGGAACTGCAGCGTGAGTCAATGGGTGCAGTGAAGGGGAGAAACGAGCGAGCCTGCCCCAAGTCAAAACTCCACGTGCGACAGGGCTTGGAGCATCCTGCTCCGGTGGAAGGGGTCCCTGCCCGTGGCAAGGGTTGGAACTGGAGGAGCTTTAAGGTCCCTTCCAACCCAAACCAGGCGGGGACTCTATGAGCCCTCAGCCACAGCCGCGCATCCAAGCAATCCTCCAGCAGGTTTTGCAAAGCAGCACCCCAAAGCAGCTGTTTCCCTGAGTTTTCCCTCTAATAACCCCCACTCTGGGTCAAATCCCTCTGGAGTCCAACACCCAGAAATATTAAGCAGCTCAACGCAAACAAGGCTTTGCTCTGATCCTGCTCTTTCCAGACAGGTTTCACAGTCACACACACAAGAGTCCAGGCAGCTTTGTCCAGTGTTTGCCCTCCCTTCCCACCCTTCAGGGCCAGGCAGGTCCCCATCACATCCCTGTGCTCACTCGTCCTTTAAAGCCTCCCATTTTGCACGAGTGGATGGAGAGAAGATGAGAACAAAGCTGTTCCTAAAGGAAAGCTGAATCAGGGCATTCCCTTGTAGCCCCTCAGGTCCCAAGCAGGGGTGGAGATGAAGGAAAGAGGGAAACAATCCCCCCAAAACCCCTCTTTACCTCTCCCCTCCACATCCCCCCCTGCAGACTCCCCTACTGAAGTGAAGGGCACTCCCTGCACCAATGTGCTTTTTTACTGCCAGCGGATTAGGAGCTTGCTCAGCTGGGAAAGATCAGGCCGGCTCCTGTCACCTTGATTTCTAACACCAGACAGCTGCTCATGGTGCAAGACATCAATAACATACCCCCATCATAACCCTAAAGGTTTCCAGCACTCTCCAGAGGGCACAATTCAAAGGTTATGGTTCCCGAAACCCCTTTCTACATCATGTATCTGGCACGGCATCCATCTCTATTGCTCATTATAAAGAATAGTGGACATCATTTTTGTTTTTCATCACTGGATGGAGGAACTGTTAGCGCAGAGCACAGGGACACGAGTACCAGCTTCTGCAGCAGTCAGCCTTTACCTGTTAAAGCCTGGAAAACCTGTCTGAGAGCCTACCTTCAGCCTGAAATGACTGCTGTGAACCTGCTCCATGCACTACACCACTAGATTGCAGCAGAACACCAATTTCTGCTGCCAGCACACTTGCTGGACAGGATGGAGCAAACAGCAACAGGACTGGAACATCTCGCAAGCACACAAGCAAAGGTATAGGTGAGGAACCCTGCAGCAAGTGAGCTGCAGCAGAGAAAGCCACTGCCTTTGGGATGCACAGAGCATCCCACCTGCTTGGCTGGGCTGCAAGCACAACCCACAGTGCAGCACCCAGCATCTGCTGCCTCTCAGGCGGTTTGCCCACAGCTTTGCATTGCATTGGAGGCCCATGTTACACCGGTGGAACTGGAGCATCCTTTCCTACTGAGCCCAGAAGGAAAAGGTGACCTGGAAGAAACAAATGAGCTGACAAAGGCAATGTGCTCCTGGAGCTGGAGGGGCTGCCAGCAAGCAGCTCCTCGGCAGTTCTCCTTGTAGAGTGAAGGCCAGAGGGCTGCTAATGGTCGAGCACTCCCAAACCCCAGCCCAGCAAGACCTTGGGCTGGGGTCAACGTTTCAGAGCTGAACTTCAGGCTCTAACTTGGGCATTTTCGCCTCAAACCCCAGAGGGGAAATTCTCCCTCCTGCTGCTGTTCCCATCCCTCTGCTCTCTGCAGACCAAAGGTTCCCTCCCTGGGGATGAGCTTGGCCATGTATTAGTCAAGATCTGCTGCATTTCCCCTGGTGCCCCAGAAGGACGAGGACCTTCACTGCTGTCACTAAGCCCAGCAGCTCTCTCACCGCTATAGCAAATGACTCAGGGTTGTGTGGAAGGGAGATGTGCAAGGCCCTCATTAATCATGAATAATTAATAACTAGCAAGTATTATTTAAAATACCAGGGCAGGAAAACTCCCGGTGTGGCTATTTTTGATTTGTAAATGCCAGGCTTTTAATTAAAAGTGAGGGAACATCATCATCACTCAACTGGTGTTAGCAACCGGCAGTCAGGGTTTGGCTGCTAGAAGCCCCAGGCTGAAAAGGGCAGTGAGAAGCTTGAGTCTAAAGGATGTGCCCTGATAGAAACACCCGTTCCTGGGGCTGGGAATTCCATGGAGGAACTGTCAGCATCGGGGCCATCACTCAGATCACTGCTGCCAGGAGGGGAAACGTGGACTGGTTGCACTGTGCCTGGCACACGTCAGCCCTAAAGCGATCCCTGCCCTGGGCAGCCTGTTCCAGTGCCCGAGCACCCTTTGGGTGAAGAACTGTTTCCTAATCCCCATCTAAACCTCCCCTGGTGCAGCTTCCCCTTGTCCTGTCACTTGCTCCTTGGGATCAGAGGCTGACCCCACCTCCCTACAGCCTCCTGTCAGGTCATCTGTTCTTTAATCAATACGCTCGGTCCTTTTGAGGCACTTACAGAAACCTGCCTAAGTAAAGCCATTAGGATTGGGTGGGTTTCTGGTACCTGTATTCCCACTTCAATTCTCCCTGCCTGAGAAGCCGCTGCAGGCTGGGTCTTTGCAGCATCAAATAGCTTGTAAAAGAAAGGTCACAGACCCATAGTGCTTGTTGTGCAGGGGAACAGCAGCATCGCAGCCTGAAAGGTACTGGAGGTCTTTTGGACAAAGAATTCCCACCTGGAATCCTAGAAATCATATAAGTAGACTGCATTAGCTACACATCATAAATATTGATGCTGTTGCTAAGGGGAAGGAGAGCTGGGTTCAATGTTAATGGACTGATGTTGGCATGCGGAAAACACTCCAGGGAGCAAGAG